CACACACACACACACACACACACACACACACACACGCACACACACACACCCCTGTGACTTGGCAGCAGGCATGACTCCTCCCTTGCCCATTTGCTCTAACTCCCAAGGTGCCCCAGTAAGGAGGCAGGGGGTGGGAGGGAAGAGAGGATGTCGTCATCGCGGAAGAACATTGTTCTGAAAACGCTGGTGTCCCCCCACGTGGTGAAGCTCGGAGAACAAACAGCACCTTGTAAACCCACCCCGTGAATGCGATGCTATTTTTTCCCAGGGGAACCGATTACAGTGACGTCCTTTATGGTCCCCGGGGCAGACCCTCCTTCCATCCTGGGGGGCGATGGGGGTCCTGGTGGGGGTGGGGTCCCCCTGCAGGATGCAGCCCCCTTGGAGCTGTGGGGTCGTGTTCTGGAGGGTGTCTCTCCTCCTCTCTGCAGTGGATCTGCCTGCGCCCCAGAAACTTCTGGCCCGGCTCCTGGTGAGTGGTTCACACTGGATGGCGCCCCTCCCCACCACCACGCTCTCTGGTCCCTCTGTGAGCGCTCCCAGAGGGGAGGGGCCAGGGCCAGCCGAGGGATCTGAACACTTACTTGGCAGGACAGAGCCTTTTGAGTCTCTATCAATCACCCTTCCTGGGTGTTTGTGGCGGGGGCAGGGTCCTCGGCTAGCTGGGGAAGGAGTGAGGACCCCAATGGCATGTTCTGGGGTGGGTTCAGTCCTTGTCCGTATGTCTGCGCACTCACACTGACTGTAGATGTGAACCCTTGTTCCCGTGCACCTGGGGGTAGAGAGGGGCCCAGAGCCCTTTCTTCCCCGCAGTATCCTCTATGGGGGTGGCGGTGGGGTGAAGGGTAGTGTGTCTGTCCCTGGGGATTCCTGGAAGTCTATTTGAAAAGTACTCATCTGCCCAATGCCTCCCTTTACAAGTGAGTACAGTGAGGATCCAAGTCAAGGGGTGAGGCTCCCTGGCAGGGCCTCACCTAGGCCTCTGTGCCCTTCCAGGTGCTGATGTCATCCCCCTACAAGGGCGAGGGGCGAGGGATCGCCATGCTCAACCTCCTGCGGACCCTGAGCCAGAGCATTGCCCCCTCCATGGCTGACATGTGGGAGCTGGAAATCCCACTGCTGGTCCAGTACCTGGAAGGTGAGGCACCCTTAGTGCGGTCAAGCCAAAGGTCCACGCCGCACTAGCCACCCACCTCCATGTCCATCATCCATTCCCCATCAACCCTCCACTTCATCTGAACTATCTCCTCAACATCAAATGCCAGCCACCCCCAACATCCATGCCAACCACCCATGCCATTTCAACTGTCGCCTCAACACAAACCATACACTCCAGTCAACCATCCACTCCCTGTCCACTATCCCCTGCATACCCACCCTCCCCTCGATGCCAGCCATGCCCTTCCCTCTCAACAATCCACTCAACACTAGTCATCTTCCTATCAACCATCTCCTCCATCCCAACCACCCCTTTCCGGCCAACTGTCTATTCAACACCATCCACCCAGTTGATGCCCACAATCCTCTCCACACTGGCCATTCCTTCCCTGCCAACTGTCCACTCAGCACCCACCATCTCCTTCATATCAGCCACCCACGCCACATCAACTACTCAAATTCCTGTCAACCACCCACTCTAGACCAACCATCCCTCCCACACCCCCGTGCAGGAGCTGAGGTTCAGGTGGACCCACAGAGCCTGTGTTGGGCCTGGGGACTGGCCGAGCAGGTGGGGAAGGTGGGAAGGGGAATACCATGTAGGGTGGACCCATCTGTGGGGTACCTCAGATGCCAGACCAGGAAGGTGAGCTGGGGGAGAAGGGGAAGCCAGGGAAAGCAGGGGGCGGTGCCTCTCTTTCTGTAGAACACACGGAGTTCACTTGGAATCAGAAGACCTGGGAAGACAAGCTGATTCAGGTAAGGAGCTGATTGTGGCTGCTGAGGAAGAGGGGCAAGGGTGGATGGGTATCTGGTGGAGCTGGCATGTGAGAAAGTTAGGAGAAATTAAAGGGCATGCTGTTCTGTTGGAGCTTTGCGTGCATAGTGCTTACACACTGGGCTGCTAACACAAGGTCAGCAGTTCGAAACCACCAGCCACTCCGTGGGAGAAAGATGAGGTGCTCTAATCCCATAAAGAGTTACAGTCTTGGCAACCCATAGGGGGCAGTTCTTGTCCTACAGTCTCCCAGTGAGTAGGAATCGGCCCAATGGCAGTGAGTTTGGGTTTTTGGAATTCTCTCGGATAAGACTGATGTGTCCCTAGTGGCATCTGTCAGCAGGGAGGACTGGGAGCAGCTTCCATCCCAGGGAAACAAGTAGTCGAGGAAGCAGTGGACAGCCGGCACCCCTCCCTCCAGCCCCCACAGCCACAGGAGCCTCCCCGCCCCTGCCAGACCCCCAGAACACAGAGAACAGATTGGGGCTTTGTGGAGTAGAGATCGAGAGGTTGGGGAGGGGCCCATGGAAGGCAAACAGCTACTCAAAGCCACACAGTGTCCCAGGGTCATCTCTGCCCTCCTCTTCCCACCCCCCACCCCAGTTTCTGAGAAACTCCCTCAAGAAGACGCGGGGGTCCGTCTGGAGCCTGCGCTTGAGCAAGGAGCTGAACAACCAGATTGAGAGCTTTGACAGTCCCTCCCTGGAGAAGGTTCGTCCCCACGGGCGGTCGGGGAGGCTGCAGGGAAGGCAATGGGGAGGGCCCCATGGTGTGTGCCTGTGGACAGGGTGCTGGGGCAGAGACAGGCGGTCTCCTGTTTTGTCTTCTAACACTTTGATCTCCGTCTGGAGGCACTGTGGGTTCCCTGTTGGGCTGCTGATCTCAAAGTCAATGGTTCGCAACCACCAGCTACTTCTCAGGAGAAAGATGAGGCTTTCTACTCCCATGAAGAGTGACAGACTTGGAAACCCACAGGGGCAGTTCTACCTTGTTCTATAGGGTCACTGTGGGGGCTACATAATCTCGTGTCAACTTGAGACTATTAAGAGTGAAGGGGTAGAGTTTAGCTTGTCAATCAGGTGGCAGCTGGATGACCTCATATGGAGGTGCTACGGAGATAAATAGCTCACTGGAGGCCAGAGCCACCCTCTCTGCATTGTCTTCTTGCTGACAAGCCACATGGAGACCCCTGATGGAGCCAGAGCCCTGGAGCTGAAGGAGCCATGTGGAGAACCTTGCCAGTGCTGAGATGCTTCACTTGCCACTGGACCCACAAGACTTTCCACCCACTGGCCTGTGATCTTCTTGAATTCGGTGTCATGGCATGTGTTGCATGAGTCTCAAGAGGGATTTATGGGACATATGGCTAATATTGGACTTGATCTGGACTGGGCTGGGATGTGTTCTCAATATACATTTGCTCTTTTATGTAAAGTTCTTTCTTATACACATATGCTCCTCCCTGGATTTGTGTCTCTAGTCTACCCGGACTAACAGTCACCACGGGTACAGGTGCTCCTGGATTTGTCGGTGGGGGCATAAGCTGGTTCTACTTACGCACAGTGGTGGAGGAGTTAGCTGCTAACGGAAAGATTGGCGGTTCAAACCCATCATCCACTCTGTAGGGAGAGATGCGGAAGTCTGCTTCTGTACAGATTACAGCTTCGGGAACCCTCTGGGGCCGGTGCCACCCTATCCTCTAGGGCTGTTAGCGACAACAATGACAGTGCTGCTATTGTTGAGATTAAAACGCACGCAGGCAGTGGTAGGTCAGGCGAAGAATTTTTGCCTTCTGTGAAGTCTCCCATCCTGGCATCTCCTGTGCAGCCACCTCCATCCGTCCTTGGAGGTTGGCATTGACAATGAACTGGTTTCCGCCAAGCGTCTCGTCTAAGACAGACTAAGGGAGAAAGAAAGGCCTAGGATCTACTTCCCCAGCCAGCCAATGCCCACTCTGTGGGTCACCACGGCCCCCTGGGCACTGACGAGCGCAACAATTAGAACCACGCTCCAACCTTCCCTCCCTGGCGCCAAGGACAGACGCCTGGTAGGAAGCCACGCCTCACCCCTGGAGGACTTGGCCAGGATTGTCAGGTGCTATCAAGCTCATCAAAGCCTCCGTGCGGCAAAGGGAAGCATGCAGTGCTCGGCCCTGCACCAGGCTCACGGTGGTTCCAATGTCGGAGCCCATGGTTGCAGCCGGGGTGTCCATCCATCCTGTTAAGGGTCTTGCTCTGTTTCACTGCCCCTCGACTTTACCAAGCATGACGTCCCCCTCCAGGGACTGGGCTCTCCTGACAACAGGTCCAAAGTACGTGAGAGGAAGTCCTGCCCTCCTTACCTCTGAGGAACACTCTGATGGCACGGCTGGTCCAGCCTGTTCTTCCAGCATTTGCGCCACTTTCCGTCTTCTGAAGCATCGTGGTTCGGATCCACGCATGCTCGTGTGGTCCTCCTTGTTCATGGGCCAGCCTGCATGCCCGGGGAGAGAAAAGGAGCCTGGGAACCACTGCCATGTGGTCAGTTCTGACTCCGAGTCAGGTCCCCTGCCCTCCTGTTTGCATCCGATGGAGAGAGAAGCAACAGATTCACTCAGCCACTCATGAGCTCCCAGGAGCCCAGCCGCTACTCACCAGAGTAGGAGCAACTGGACTTTGGACATGGCTCCCACCAGCAGTGGGGGACCACCGGGCAGTGCACCTACCCTGGAGCTCCCAGGCATATGCACCTGTGATGCAGGGACCCAGACTCACTGCAGGCTGGCAGGGGAAGGTCTGCGTAGCCATAGAGCTCACTCAGTGCCATCGAGTCAGTGCGGCCCTGTGCGACATTCTAGAACTGCCCCCGTGGGTTTCTGAGATGATGGCACTTCGCGGGAGTAGACAGCCTCCTCTTACTCCTGTTGGACAGCAGTGGTTTCAAAGCGCTGACCTGGAGGTTCGCAGGCCATCACGGAACTCACCACGCCACCAAGGCTCCTCCTCCGTGAGTGGGAGGCGATTGAGAAGCCTGTGGCTTGGGGCAGGTACACCTTAGCGTAAAACGAATCACACCCTTGCTTGAGAAGTTGTCCTTGGACCCCCCCAACTCCAAGAATCTCCCAACAAGCAAAGCTACCAGTGCATTTTTATCGAAAAGGGCCTGGAGGGCTCTGTCCTGAACACCCTGGCGGGTGGGCGAGCCCCCAGGCAGGCAGGTAGCCATTGGATCTTCTCCGGCTGTGTCTGCCTCTCCAGGCCTTTCTGTACCGCGCTCTGGGCTTCACGCTGGCCATGGGCCTGGAGGCCGACAGGGTGGGGGTGCTGCTGCTGGAGCTGCTCTACAAGACGGACTACAGCAACGACTTTGACCGCGAGGTGCGGGCTGGCCCTGGGGTGGGGAGGGGCAGGGGTGTGTGTGTGAGAGAGAGAGAGAGAGAGCATGAGGCCTCACCCATCGCGGTGGTCCCTTGCAGGGCATCACCCTCTGCTTCGGCCTGTGTGCCCGGGGCCAGGTGAAGACGGTGCTGAACGTGCTCCAGGATTTTGAGGAGAGGATCCAGGAGTCGGAGCAGAGCTGGCAGATCGGCGCTTGGCGGGTAAGACCCCGGGCCCACCCTCAGCTCTCCGGGGTCCCTTGGAGCCCAACCCTCTGTGCCCGTCCTGCCTCCTCGCCTCCTGGTGCTGCTGCAGCACAGATACCACGAGTGCTTTGTGGGGCAGACGGGTCTCTGTTGCTCATGAAGACACCTGGGCGGGATCAGGCTCTCGGCTCTGCCCACAGCTTCCTGGTCAGAAGCCCCAGGCCGCCGTGGGCTCCTTACTGGTGAGCAAAGCCCAGATGGCCCACAAGCACGCCGGGCGCTCTGGTCGACTCTTTTGGTAACTCAGAGGCAATCAGCTCTGGAAGCCACCCGGCTCGGTAGGGATGGAATGAAGATAACGAAGCCAGTCCTGGTCTCAGACAGGACCCGCCACGGGCGTTGTTGTCTATCTTGTGGTTGTTATGTGCTCGGGGCTCAATCCCAATGCAGTGGCCCGTGTGCCACAGAACAAAGCCCTGCCCAGTCCTGCGCCATCCTTGCCCTTGCTCTTGGGTTTCAGCCCCTCACGGCGGCCACTGTGCCAACCCATCTGGTCGAGAGCCCTGGCTCTTGTTCGCCGCCCCCGTGCTCTTTACCAAGCACCACGTGTCTCTCCGCGGACCGGTCTGGTCTCTCCCGACAACGGAGGCGTCCAAAGCGCGTGAGACAAAGTCTCTCCCTGCTGGTCTCTGAGGGGCACTCAGGCTGTGCCTCTTCCAAGACTGAGGCGCTTGTGCCCTGGGCTGTCCGTGGGACGCCCGATGGCCTTCTCCAGCGCTGCCCTCCAGGTGCACTGGCTCTTCCGCGACTTCCTCTGTCGGTGCCCCGCTTGCCCACGCACTCGAGGCAGTGGGAAATGGCCGATGTCTCACCACGCCGGGTCTGAGGAGCATGCGGGCTGCACTTCCAGGAAGACAAAGGTGCCCATTCTCCTGGCATCCATGCCCTTGGCCAACGCTGGCATTCTAAGGCTTCGACTCTCCTTCCGTCTTCCTTCTTCACTGCCCAGCTTTCTCAGGCATGGGTAGAGCAGTTTGGGCCCCCACCCCTAGGTGAGGTGGGGCATGGTTCGGCCCATAAGCACACCTAGCCAACGCTCTCATGAGGTCTGCTAGACACGCCCTCCCAGTCCCTCATCACCAAGGTGACTGAGATCTGGGGCCTGAGACAGGACAGGGCCACACTCCCTGTTGGTGAGCACAGACGGGTGGGCCTTCCACGACCCTGACATCTCAGAGGGGTCCAAGCCCGTCACGGGTCACTGAGGGCCCCTCAAACCAGCAGTGCAGACACCCCCGGGCGGCTGCTGTTTGCTGCGTCTGGTCAGCCCCCACACAACCACACACAGCAGAGCCAGGCGCCCAGGTCCTGCGCCGTCCTCAGGCGGGGATCCAGCCACAGAGCTTCCACGGGTTGCCTTTCGGAAGTAGATGGGCAGGCCTTTCTTCCCAGTCTGTCCTGGTCTTGAAGCTCCGCTGCCATCCGGGCCGTGTCAACCACAGAAAGCCTCCACGGACATGGCAGCTGTGGGAGTGCGCATGAGGTGCACTGGCTGTCCGCCCGAGCTGGGGTTCCTGTGTGGAGGACCAGGACGCTACTGGTGGCGAGGATTGCAGAATGCCAGGGCCCCTGGGCGTGAGCCTTAGGACAAGAGAAGGTACTTGGGCAGCAGGCAGAAAGAAATAGGCATGAGCCGTAAGTGCTGCCCCATCACAGGGCCCAGGTGCTGAGGTGCCCACTGCCCCAGAGATGACCACGAGGGAGCTTGTCTAGAGGTCAGTCAGTTGGGAAGCTGGCCCTGGCTCCCAGGAGTCCAGCACCCAAAGAGGGTGGGTCAGGCTAGCTGGCTGAGCCTATCCTGGCATCCTTCTGCAGTCTTCAGGGGCTCAGGCACTGGCCTGGCCCTGGCCCTTGGCCCTAGGGAAGGGAGCTTGGATGCAGGGCCTGAGACAGGAACAGTGTCCAAATCCAGGTGGCCAATCTCTAGTCGAAACCTGGATTCTCCTGTCCCCGTTCAGGTGTGTGAGGGGACTTCCAGCACCCCTCCCCACTTGGAGGGTGGGCTTGGTCAGACCGTGTGGGCAGTCTGTCCCACCGGGCCCCTGGCATGTGTGGGGTGAGCACTGACCCAGCAAGTCCCTGGCACGGGGGCGGCCTGGGAAGTTGTGGACAGTGGCCTCCAGGTACGGGACCGACAGGCACTGACCACCCGACATCAGGTGCTGGAACCCTGGGTGGTAGGTTCAGGTCCACTCAGGATCATCAAGGAAGAGAGGCCCGGTGATCTGCTTCGGAAAACTTGTCCATTGAGAAGCCCGCATCCATGGGACATGTGACTCCAGCCTGTGAAAGGCCACCACATCGGCGCTGATGCAGGGTCCCAAGCCTGGCTGGGGTGCCTCTGTCTCCTAAAGCCACCCCTTCCCCCTAACTTCCCCCATCCCAGCTTCCCCTGCTTGCTGTCCTGCAGAAAGACCATCCCTGGAGGCGGGAAACAGTGAAAAGTGCCCTCATGGTCATGTACAGCTGTGTGGCCACCTACTGCCACCCTCAGGTGCTCCTCAGCCACATGGACAGCCCCATCACTGCCAAGATCATCCACCACTACTCCAGCAGCTGCCGGGTACCCCACGGGCGCCTCCCCATGCCCCATCCTACCCTCGGGTTCCTTAGTCAGGTGGGGGTGGGGGCAAGCACCCTCCCCACATCCCTCTCACCAAGAGACAGACACCCAGGGCTCTTACCTGACATCCAGCACCCAGGGAGCCTATTGCCCTGGCCTGTTCTCTATGCTTTGGGTAGAGAAACCCTGCGTGTGTCACTGGGGTGGGAGGTGTCTGCCTCTTCCTTGCCTGGGCGTGGTCTCTCCTTTCCCCCCTCCTTCCTAGTGGCCCGAGGGGAGGGTGTGGAGGGTCAAGCGTCTGCCCCTCTGTGACACTGGGCACTCCAGCTGCAGTGCCTAGGACAGGCCACCTGGGGGTGCAGAGAGTCCGGCCCCGGTCACGAGACTACATGGGCCCCATCATAGAGACACTTGGTTCCCATTCATCCCTGGACACACGGGACGCTCAGAGCCCATCTGGCCCTGGTTAGGGAGACATGGGCCCCCATCAGGCCCTGGTCATAGAGGACACGGGCCTCCTTTGTCCCTGGGCACGGGGCATTCGGTCTCTGTCTGGCCCTGGTCATGGAGCAACGTGGAGCCCCATGGGCCCTGTCCAGCCCTGGTCTGGCCCAGGCCCCAGTCCCTGCCCATGGATGCTCAGTGGTCTACTGAAGGCCGAGTGAGGTGCCCTGTCTCAGAGCACCTGAGCTGAGGCCCTCCCTTCCCCAAGCAGGGAGGGCTCCTCCTTTGTGTGGGTTCTGGGTGGGGTGAGGTGAGGGTGGGGGGGATGGTTACTCACAACCATGCTCTCCACTGGGTCCGGGCCAGGATGTGTCCCTCAAACTGGCCTTCATGAAGAGCATTGTGCAGGTGGCCAGCGCGGTCAAGTGCATCGAATACCTGGACGATGTCCAATTTGCCCAGAAGGGCACGGTGACCAGCATTCTGATGGTGAGTGGAGCCAGGGGCACCTGGGGAGTTTGGGGGTCTGACTCTCCGCGGAGGCCCGGGGTTTCCAGAGTTCCCGAGGGAGCCTGGAAGGGGGGGGGGGCGGCAGCTACAGGGTCTCTGAAGTTCCCACCTCAGTCCTCCTGTGCCCTAACTGTAGTGGTTCAGAATAAGGCATCTTCCCAGGTGTCGCAGCCATGAAGTGGCTTAGAAACCAGACAGAAGGCTCTGGGCCTCTGGGCCCTGTGATGAGCAGCGGGTATCTGGCTGCTCTGGGCTGGTTGTAAAGACTCGGACTGGGGTTCCCGTGGGGGCGAGGGGAGGGATGTGGGGGAGGAGCTCTCAGGAGCAAGGCCTAGAGCTCATTTGCCTAGAACTTTGGTCCGATGGGGGGAAAGCGCTTTGCTTGGATCCACAGTCCAGGCTCCTGGAAGCCACAGTTGAGAGATCAGAGGATGCATATTGTGTTGGGTGCATCTGCCCCACACGACCTCTTGGGAGCGCTGCCAAGCAGGGGCTCAGGATTCGCCTGACCCATGCCAGGGCCTTTTCAACCCCCTCGTCTGCCTCTGAAAGTTGGACACTAGATAAAAGAGACGAAGAAGAATCAGTGCTCACGCCTGACGGTGCTGGCAAAGAATACTGAAAGTACCAAAGAGCAGGCGCCTCTGTCTTGGAAGGAGCAGAGCCTGAATGCACCTACAGGCAAGGATGGGGTGAGCGTCTGTCTCATGCCTTTGGGCTTGGCATCAGGAGAGGCCGGTCCCCGGAGAAGAGCATGGTGGCTAGGAAAGTAGAGGGTCGTGGGCAAAAGAGGAAGACCCTGGACAAGACGGACTTGACTGCATTGTCTGCAACGATGAGCTGGACCATGACCACAATGGTGAGGATGGGGCCGGGCGGGGTGGGGCTTCATTCAGCTGTCCACGGGAACCGACTCAATGGAGCCCAACAACAACAACAACAGAGAAACAGTCACTGTCCCAAGACAGGCATCAGCGACGAGGCTGATGGAGGTGGAGGCGCGGCTGGGGTCCGCCCTCCCCACTCCTAGTACCGACACTGGTGACCGCCCGTCGCCACCTGGATGTTGGAGCCTGCAGGGACGTGAGACTGGGGTTGAGAAGAGGAGGCCCGGCGTAGGCTGTCAGAGCGTGTTCCCGTCGGGGGCCTGGGGCCAGGGACTCCACACACATCATTTTATGGGTCACCCAGTGGAATTGGCCATCCAGTCTTTGCTTGACAGAGGAGGGGGGCTGGGGGCAGGGGGCAGGAGGGTATTTCCCCCAGGACACCCAACTCGAAGCCAAGTCCTCCTCCCGACACCCACTCTCGACACCCTCTGCGCTCTGGACTCATTGTCTCCCCTGGGCTGTGGAGTGGGTGTTCAAGGAACCACAGTGCATGCTCCAGAATGTCAGGCCCTCCAGCACTTACTGCTGGCCGGAGCCCTCTCCCCGCCGGGCCCCCCCGGTGGCCGGCAGCTCACGGCCTGATTGGGTCCCGCAGGCAATCACCAAGGCTGAGCCCACCGACAGCCTGGTCTCTCCCGTCCGGGCCATGGCAATGGATGCCCTGGTGCACCTGAGGTGAGCTGGGCACCCTACCCCTTGTCCCCTGGCCTCCAGGGATGGGACCTCCCCTGGGTAAGCAGCTCCTGGACCCTCCCTTGCCTCTGCAGCAGGGGCCCGGGGCTGGGCCAGCTGAGAAGATGGGGCTCTCGTTCGCCCCGCTGTCAGCGAGAATTCCTCTGGGCATCCCACGCGTCAATGAGGGGTGCAGACCACACGGGGGCCGTGTCAGGGGGCCCGGCGCCAAAGACTGGCTGTGTGAAATGTGTGTGCCGTGTTTCTTCAGGGACTTACTGCCTCTTGAAAAAATAAAAACACCCCTGCGGCTCGTTACAAAGAGGCCTGGCGGCAGAGTGGTTATGCATTGGGCCGCTGACTGCAAGGTCCTGGGTTTGAAACCACCCGCCATTTGGCTGGAGAAAGACGGGCTTTCTCTTCCTGTAAGAGAAGCCCCAGGGGCAGTTCTACCCTGTCCTACGGGACGGCTGTGAGTCGGCAGGGACTTGATGGCAGTGCGTTTGGTTTGAATTAGTTACAACAACAAACATCGTTCCCGCAAGCCCAGCTTCCATGTATCAGTATACCCACAAGGCTAACACTCTAGGTTAATTCACTGTTTGAGCCTCCGGATGTGCTCCAGGGACCCCTGTGGCACAGTGGGTCGGGGATTGGGCTACTAACCACAAGGCTGGCAGTTCAAAACCACCAGCCATTCCTCGGGAGAAAGACAGGCTTTTCACTCCCGTGAAGTCCTGGAAAGCCGCAGGGCCGGTCCTATCCTGCTACGGGGTCGCTGTGAGTCAGAATGAGCTCCATGGCAGTGCATTTGGGTCTGAGTCATGAGCATGGACGCCCAGTCACAGGACGCTTCGGCTCACCTGGGTTGATCTGCCCCCGCTGTGGGCACTCGCTGCTGTTTGCACCGCTCACCACTGTCCTTACAGTCCCCGGTTCGGTCACCGCTATTGGTGATTCAGCTTCAACATTGTGGCGATTGGTATTTGTGAAAGCCTATCAGTCACGTTTATGTGTGTAAGCATGTATGTGTTTTCCCAACAGTTTTATGGGCATGGACTTCCCATGTCCCAAGTCAACAGTTGACTCACATCAAGCACAGCTGTACAATCATGACCACAATCAGCTTTGAATATTTTCTTCATTCTTGTTCGCATCGTTATTAGTTCCCCATGTCCCCTCAGCTTCCCCTGCCAGACCCCCAAAGGACCATTCACCTAGTTACCGCCTCAGTAGATTTACCTACCCTGGATTTCACAGAGAGAAACACGTTCAACAGCAAGCAAGCAAAAAAATACCCAACACCAGCAACAAACAGTGACAAAGTAAAACAGAAAAAGCTCCACTGAACAGACGCAGCAAACACTGAGAACTAGCACACTTTCTCGAGAATGAAGCAGTCACTAAAGGAAAGGCAGGAGAAAAGAGCAGGCTTCTCCTCAGTGACTCATCGTGCTGTTATTCAATGTAGAGAAATTTTACAGCACGAAACCGTCTCGCGGTTGGCCCTTGCATAACCAACTGACCGTGATATTTAATCATGCGCGATCCTGTGGTTAACATTGAGACTGAACATTACCCAGAATCCGGCCTGGTCTAGTGCAGGAAGAGGTCCATGGGTGGTGGGGCAGTCATTGACACCCATGAATTGCCATGCTGGGTACCGCCAACTCTAGTGACACTGCTGAGACCAGCCCCAGGTACCCCGGGGTATAGTGGTTAAGTGCTCAGCTGCGAAGGGAAAGGTTGGTGGTTTGAGCCCACTGGGGCTTTATGGGAGAAAACTTGGAAGGTGGACATTGCAGCCGAGGAAACTCTATGGGACAGTTCCACCCTGTCACATGTAGACAGGCTCCAGAGGCAAGTCAGCATTGGCTTGACGGCACCCAAGAAGGGCAATAGGGCTATCCAGGCAGGGTTAGGTTCCACCATGCTCCAGTTAGGCAACAGCAAGTAGGACAGGGGTCCTGAGACCCCTGGGTGCCTCCCTCCATCACAGCCCCAGCCCCCGGGGCACTGCTGGGGGCTGGGCTAACACCTCCAGCCAGGGAGGAAATCTCCAGACTGAGCCCGGACCTCCTCACGTCTCTCCCTCCAGCAAGCTGAAGCCTTTCTACTCGGGGGAGGAGAACAGCGAGCTGATGGACACCGGCATCCACTCCGTCATTTCTCTTCAGCCCCCAGGGGAGGACAATGAGTCCATTAAGGTAGGTCCCTCTGGGCTGAGATGGGAGCCTACAAGTTTGCACCCAACTGGACCGCGCTGGCCCTCCCTTGTCCTGAACCTGCAGCAGGAGAGGCTGCCAAGTGAGGGGGTCCTATGAACAAGGCCAGGCCCAGAGCCCTGGTGGGGCACGGGTTAACCTCTCAGCTGCTAACCGAAAGGCTGGCAGTTCAAACCCACTAGCAGCTGTGCAGGAGGGAAGGCCTGGCCATCTGTGCCCGTCAGTATTACGGCCATGCGAGCCCAGTGTGGTGGTGCTGCTCTGCCCCCTAGGGTGCCTGTGAGTTGCTGTGGACGTAACAGTACCCAAGGTCAGTGAGCCAAGCCTAGCCGAGCCCTGGTGCTGTAGCCGGCTACGTGGTGGCCTCCCCGCTGCTCTGTGGGAGAGCCTCCTGGGAAGAATGACAGTCTCCGAAAGCCACAGGGGCCAGTTCTATCCTGCCCTGCAGGGTCTCTACAAGTCGGTGTGCACTCGGCAACAGTGGGTTTGGTCTGGCTGACTGTAACAGGTAAATCCTGAAACCCCTGTGTGTTAATAACCTCAAAGCATGTCTCAGTCAAATGAAGCGCCATTGGCAGTGGGGCCGGGGGGCTGGGTCACTTTACACAGGAATCCAGGTTGACAGAGGTTCTGCCTCTTGAACGGTGGCTGTGCGTTTTGGGATCCAACCTGGAGATAGGGAAGATGCGGAGAGCCGATTCGTCAACTTGCCCGGGCTCTTTCCAGCTGCAAGGGCTGCTGGGACATGTAGTTCCCCAGTTGCTTGGCTGTTTCCCACCAATGTGGAAGGGGAGGGCACATCCTTTGTGGACCCTGGCTCTGGATGGTGAAGATGGGCCACACCTGTGCAGAGTGACAGCCTCTCCGACCCACAGGGACGGTTTTGACACTGAGCCACAGGGTGCTAGAGTCAGATTGCATGGCAGGGAGCTTGCTGTTGTGGTTTGGTTTGGCCCCGGAGAAGGAGACAGGAGAACCGAGTGAGCTCCCGCCGGAGCTGAGGCTGCTCGTCGGTACAAGGGCTCTTCTGGAGAGATGGCCGTGCCCCTCACGTGGTCAGCGCCAGGCTGTCCAGGGCGACGTTTGTCACGGTTGCCCCTGCCTCCTCTCTCGGCTGCAGATCTTGTACAGCAATGCCATGGGCGCCCTGGAGCGGCTGATGGAGGGCCTCATGCAGCGGCAGCTGGACCCCAAGGGGCTGCAGGAGATGGTGCACGTGAGTTGCCACGTCGCCCACCACCCCTTCCTGGGACCACCCTCCACAGGTTGCTTGGCACCCCTGGATGAGGATTCCCCCAGACAAAGTGCCACAAACGGAGTGGCCAGTAAGAATGAAACAATGATTCAGAGTTAGGGAAGCCGGGACTCTGAATTCAGGTGTTGGCAGGGCTGTGCCCCTTAGGAGGCTCTTGGGAAGATACCCCCGCCCCCACTCCCTGCTCTTCTCCTCTCCCCTCCCCTCCCCTCCTTCCTCTGTCCTTTTGAGCTACTGAGGACCCTAGGCACCCCTTGTCTCTCAGCTGCAGCCGCACTCCAGCCTCAGACCCCATCTCCTCAACCGTCTTCCCTCTATCTGCCCCTCTTTTGTGGGACACTAGCCACACAGGGTTAGGGCCCATCCTCCTCCTGTAGGAGCTCCTCACAGACCCCACGAACCAAGCCAGGTACTCTTCACAAGTGTCACGGGTTAGGGAAACAACGGAAATCGGGAGAGAGGATAACGCAGTCCTCAACAGTCACCGTATCTGTTGATGAAATGTCATTTTCTGAAGAGTCGGGGGAAAAACAAAAACAGCAGCACGCAGGATGCCTGCGTCTCCTTCAGATTTCAGGCTCGCCAATTTTTAATATTTTGCCACGTCTGCTTTCTCCCTGTCCTCTCTCTCCCTCCTTCTATCCCCCGCTAACACCAGGAAGGAGAGCATTCCGTGCTAGAACCACAGGACAGTGATCACATCAGGGAAACTGTCCCGGATGCAATGGAATATTGTAATCCACCCCCTGTCCACGTAACGGTGCCACTCATTAACCCAGCCCTGCCTTTTGTGGCCTGATCCCCGTGCCACCCCACCCCCTCAGCGGGGTGCAAGCTGGTCTCCGCCCGGTGTGAGGCTGTCCCCCCTCTTCAGGTTGTTTGGGCCTGGACCAGCCAGCTGCCCTTGAGTCATCGTCCAGCATGCTGGTCTGCTGCTGACAGTACGTTGTCACCGTCCTCTCTTCCGTGTGCCCTGTGGGGGTGGCCAGAGCCTGTGGCGCCGGTCCAGAAGGAGATGCTGTTCCATCCTCACCATGGTTGTGACGTCTGAACCCACCCAACCAGCCATGGTGCCAGGCCGTCTCCTGGAGGGCCCCCCCTCTTTTTTCCTTCTTTCTCGAGACAAGCTCTTTACCAGAGAGGTGGATCGCAAAGGCTTTCTCGCAGTCTGCCGCCCGCCTCTCCAGCCACCTCCCCTCGCCTTCGGAAGACTGGGGCGATTTAGAAAGGCATTCAGAAGAACAGGAACTCACCTGTGTTCGTGCGGAGAAGGTGGAGCGGGGCGACGCACTGCTGGCCCTCCCCCTAGACCCGGTCTGCATCCTGCCGCCATGGTCACCGTCTGTTGATGCTCATCCTCAGGGACGCGGATTACGTCTGCCGTCTCGCTCTGACATCATCAAGCCGTTTCTCAGTTTGACCAAGTCTGCTTTATCTTTTTTGTTGTTGGTTTGTTTTAATCATTTATTGGGGGCTCTTACTGCTCCGGTAGCAATCCATACATCCATTGTGTCAAGCACATCTGTATATAGGTTGCCCTCATCCTTTTCTTTTTCCTTTTTAAACCTTTTATTAGGGGCTCATACAACTCTTATCACAATCCATACACACATCAGTTGTGTAAAGCGCATTTGTACTTCATTCTCAAAACATTTTCTCTCCTCTTAAACCCCCCACATTAGGTCCTCATTTTTCCCCTCCCTCCCCGCTCCCCCTTCCCTCATGAGCCCTTGATAGTTTATAAATTGGTATTTTGTCATATCTTGCCCTATCCGACGTCTCCCTTCACCCACTTTTCAGTTGTCTGTCCCCCAGGGAGGAGGTCACATATAGTCCCTTGTAATCGGTTCCCTCCTTCCTACCCACTCTCCCTCTACCCTCCCTGTTTCGCCACTCACACCGCTGGCCCTGTAGGGCTCATCCACCCTGGATTCCCTTTATTTTCAGTTCCTATCTGTACCAGTGTACCTCCTCTGGTCCAGCCAGACTTGCAAGGTCGAATTCGAGTCATTGTAGTGGGAGTGGGGAGGAAGCATTTAGGAACTAGAGGAAAGTTGTATTTCTCGTCGTTGTTACATCACACCCCGACTGGCTCGTCTCCTCCCCGAGACCCCTCTGCAAGGGGACCTCCAGGCCATCGCCCTTTTCAAAACATTTTCTTTGTATGTTAGCCTTTGGTGTCAGCAGTCTAATTTATCTTAACAGCAAAACATGGCATTCTGGGTCCTGTGTTGTTATATCTAAGACGTCTTTGCCTAGCCCAAAGTTGCAAAGACGTTCTCCTAGGAGTTTTGGGAGTTGCAGGTTTTAAAACTTAAGTCTAAAGTCTATCGTATGTTGATTTTTCTATATGGATAATTTTTTTTTTTTTTTGCACGAGGATGTCCAATTGTTCCAGCACAGTACATCAAGCAGACCATTGGATTCGTCAAAACACTGTTTTGGATTAAAAATCCAAATTTCTGGGCAGGATTAAAAATCAATTGGCTGTGTGTGTTAAGAGAGTGGAGATGGATGTTTATGGACTCTTATTCTGCTCCACAGAGGCATTGGGCTCTCTTGATGCCAGTCTCTCACTCTCTGGGTTGCTAGCATTACTGCACTGCTGTTGAATTGATTTCTATTTCTAGCAGCCCTGGGGGACAAGGTACATCAGTCCTTAGGGCAGCAGTTCTCAACCTGTGGGTCGAGACCCCTTTGAGGGTCGAACGACCCTCTCACAGGGGTCGCCTGAATCATAACAGTAGCAAAATTACAGTGATGAAGTAGCAACGAGAATAATTGTATGGTTGGGGGTCACCACTACATGAGGAACTGTGTGAAAGGGCCGCGGCATCAGGAAGGTTGAGAACCACTGCTGTAGGGTGTTCAAGACTGTAAGTTTTTACGGAAGCTGGCGGCCATCTTCCTTCCATGGAACGGCTGATCGGTTCAAACAGACCTTTCAGTGAGCAGCTGAACCACGGCTACAAGAGCTCCTTGCTGTAACACTGTTGCTGCTGTTGTGCTAGGTTCCAACCACTGCCCCGTCTTGCACCATCGTCACGAGTGATCCTACGCGTGAGCCCCTGGTGGTAGCCACTGTGCCCACCCATCTCTTTGAGGGTCTTCCTCTTTCTCACTGCCCCTCTGCTTTACCAAGCATGCCGCCCTTCTCCAGGGACTGGACTGTCCTGACAACATGTCCAACGTATGTGAGATGAAATCTAGCCATCCTTACCTGGAAGGAGCACTCTGGCTGTACTTCTTCCAAGAGAGATTTGTAACAAGTCTTGAATTCAAATTGTGTTGAGTTCACCAACGTAGTTCTATTTTGTGTATGTGCGTCCTGCAAATGTTCACGTGTTACTCTCTCATTTTATTCCCTTTACATTGCACCTCCAAATGTTTTTTGGTCTCCCCTCCCTCTGCCTGGCTTTCTGGATCTCTTCTTTTATGGGGCCCACTCCCATAGGACAAGGCGGCTTCTGATTTCTACTCTGATCTACAGGTGATTTAGAAGTTTACAGACATGTAGGGGCAACCCCAGAAGTAGCTTATCTTCTGATGTTGGTCCTTCCAATGTAACGTCCTGCAGTCTGTGTACATTTTGAATCCTTTCAAATTTTTGAGACTGGTTTTGACACCCAGATATGGTTTATCTTGGCAAATATCCTATGTGACCTTGGAAAACATTGTGCTGCTGAACGTTCATGTTTTCCGTATCCTCCATGAATGTCTGTCTTCTTGTTCTATCAGTTGTTGAGAAAGAGGGATTTAAATCTCCTCTTGAAACCAATAGTCCACTCTATCCGTTTTTGCTTTATGTATTGGGCCCGTTATTGGCTGCTTACATGTTTAGGGTGGTTATGGTCATGTCCTCTTGGTGAACTGACCCTGTACCCTGAGGGCACGCCAACCTTCTTTACACTTGGCAATAGTCTTTGCTCTGAAATGAGCTTCATCACTTATGAGAACCACCCTTTCAGGACCCCCGGTAACAAAGGGTGCTTCTGGACCTTCACCTTCAGGTAGATAGCAAGCCAAATATGATGCCCCAACACACCCCGTCCTCTGCCCACAGCCCCTGTCTCTTCCTGGGAGGGGCCGTGGGAAAATCCAGAAGTGTACAGAACCACAGCGAGATTCAGAAACAATTTGAAGGGAAGGGGCATGGGTGGTGATCATCGGTGGTCAGTAAAAGGACCCCTAGAGGATTTTGTTCTCCACCCCCGGCCCCGGCCCGCCCCCCAACATCTTCCATGTTTTGACTCTCTCCACAGCTCCTGGAGAAATGGATCTTGTCGGAGAAAGAATGGGAGCGGGAAAAGGCCATGAACCTCCACCTTCACCTCATGAAGATTTATGTCCAGAGCGTGGGCGTCTGTGTGAGTCAGGGCACACTCAGCCCACCCTCCATCCCCAGTCGGCCGTGCTGACATCCGCTGCGAAATCTCCCTCCGTCCGTGAGAACATGCGACCCTTGAAATGGAGCACTGGCCCCTGAGGATCCCCGGGAAGGAAGAGGCTGTGAGGAAGGGATTGCTGGGCTCCCAGTGTGGACCCAGGTTCTGTGGGCTTGGCTCATCCAGTGAGTGGTAAGGACCTTCTTGAAGGAAAGGCCTACCCAGTCAGGAGTGCAACACTGGTTAGGAACGGGAATGTCTACTTAGAAGGAGAGAAGAGCCATTTTCTCCTTAAATTGCAACGGTATGACCTTGGTCTTGCTCAGCTGCCCGACAAGGCTTCAGGATGTCTCTTTCTCCACATTGGTTGACGCGATGCTCCTCAGTTGTCTTGTCCATGGGGACAGCTTTCATCAGGGCTGGGGCGCAGTGGTGAGCACAGGTCCCAGGGCTGCTGGTGGTGACAGAGTGGGGTACTTGAGGGCCCCGTGGTGGCGGTGACAGGTCACCGCAGGTGCTTGTTCTCTCCTAGCTCTGGAAGCTGTTGTTAGTAGGTGCTCTCTAGTTGGGTCTGACTCATCGCGGCCCCACGATGTCGTCGTGCAGCAGAGGAAGCAGCCTGTCCTGCACGGCCCCCCTCAATTGCTGCTGTGTTAGAGGTCATGGTTGTGGCCATTGCGCCATCTTATTGAGGGGCCTCCTCTTTAGCTCTGACCTTCTGCTTCACCAAGGTAATCAGCGCGATTCCTGTGTATCCCACCTGGCCAGGCCACGTGGGTGGTCACTGGTGATATGCTGTTGCAAAAAGGCATTTGCAGCAAATAGGCTGTCGGTCTTGCAAAACTCCATCACGACGACCTAGTTCTCCCACCGCCAGTCCTTCCTGTCTGTTTCCATTCAAAGCAGCAGGTCGTTATCCATCTGCCTCGATTGCACTCGATCAATGCCAGACAGCAGAAGCTGGCGACCCCCCTCCATGCCTTACGGCCTACGGCTGAACAACAGCCGAAGCAACGGCCTTCCTCCGCGGGGTCGAGACATGACAGCACTGTGCTTCAGGTTACACTTTGAGGTCTTCTTTGTGACACCACGTGGGCCCCCTTTCCTCCTGAATTCATCCTTGTCGGCCGCGTAAACCTGCCGAGTAAAATGGACTCAGAACGGCCACTGTCGGTCCATTTCAGCAGGCTAATACTGAGGATATCAATCTTTATGCATCCCCTTTCCTTTGTGACAACTCCCACCTTCCTAGGTTCCTAGTCTGTACATGCCACACCCCGACTGCGGATGGATGCTTGCGGCTGTTTCTTCTCATGTCCCATCGAGCCCCATCCACCAGGGAGGGCCCCGAAGGCCTTGCTCCGCCTGCATCAGTACCGTTGACGCTCCCTGAAGAAGGTGTAGCTGCAGGGCCTTCCAGCTTGAGGGGCTCGGGGCTCCCCATTTGGCACTCTTGTCAGAACATGTTCCACTGCGGTCCACAGGTTTTCAGGGGCTAACCCCTCAGAAGTGGGTCACTTCTTCACTCTTCCTAGTCTGTTTTAGCCTTGAAGTTCATCTGAAACCTGTCCACCCTCAGGGACCCTGTTTTGATTTGGTATCTGGAATGCCAGCGACAAAGCTCCTAGCACACACACACACCCCATAAACAGGAGGGGAAGTGAGGGCCTGGGAAGTTAGGAAAGGGCCCTACCGAGGCCACCCAGCTAGTGAGCAGGACCCCAGATTTGACACCAGGCCTCACAAGTCAAGCGTTTGGAAGGGAGACATAGCGGGGTCCTGAGCAGGGGCTCTGTGGTCCACTGAGAGTTGGGGCTGAGCTGTGGGGCTCGGGGAACTGCAAGCTTGGGCAGGAGGCAGACAGTGTCACCCTGCCTTCCTCATTGGGTGTGTGCGGAACAGGGTTCAGTCTCTCGAGACTGCCAGTCCGGGGCGCCCCAGGTGCGCTGAGTGAGTGGAGGGCAGGAGGGTTTGCTCTCCTGTTGCCCACAGATCCCCCTGAAGCTGGGCCAGTTTGGCACCCTGGTGGGACTCATTGCCCCGTGTACCTGCGACCCCCACCGAAGAACCCGAGTGGCCTCCACTGACATCCTGTCATGCTTGCTGGACCTCCACGGTATAACGGGATTTGGGGGCAGGCGAGGGGGTGGCTGCTCTCTGGGGTAGCATGTGGATCAGTCAGGGTGACCAGAGGAGAGAGTGGCATGGGGAGAGCTTCCCAGAAGGACTGGGAAAGAGGGAGTATGGTTCCGGGTGACTGGCAGGGGCCTGAGTGAGACCAGCACCCCGAGACCAAGGATGTGGCTGGTGGGGTATCAGGGACCAGGGACCTGAGCTGTGTAGAGGGGTGTGGGGAGGAGCACTCCACCCCCCCTGTCCCCCCCATCCCCAGGTGGCAGGAAGGTGGGAAGAGGGAGGATGTGGTGTCCAGCGACCAGGAAATAGCCTGGTGCTATGAGAACCCTGGGGGCAGGTCACTACGGAGCCCGTTGTCCTTGCTGAGCCTGCCCACTGTGGCACCCCAACAGCCAGCCAGACCTGCTCCTTGTGGGGAGCATCCAAGGAGAAGGAGCTGCTGAAAAGCAAGGAGGACCTCAGGGACTTGGACGAGGAGCAGGTCATGTGTGTGTCTTCCAGAATCGCCAAGGTGACGAGCAGAGGGGGTGGGGAGGGTGGGGGCAGGCTGGGCTGCTGCCAGGTCTCCTGTGCTCTTTGGGCACCTGGAGGGAGGCAGCTTTCTCTGCCTGGCCATGCTGCCCACGTTCTCCTGTGGGTGGGGCGTGGGTGTGGTGCCGCCTCCACGGCCCGACACCTGCCAGCCATCGTTGACCGTTGGGAAGGTGGTAAGGCCTCCTCCCTGGGTGCCTGGCACACACTAGGTGCTCAGCATCTGCCCGCCATCGTCTTCCCTCCCTGAGCAGGGAACAGGCCCCGTGTCCGTGTCTGGGTGGCTGTGGTACATGAAAGTGCCCGGAGCCACCCAGAGGCCTGGGGTCCTTTTGCCTCAGGGTCAGGAGGGCTTGTGGAGAGGCAGGCCTGTGCACGGGCTAGGAGAGCGAGCAGCCAGTGCTAGGGGCGGCCAGGGTCAGGGGACAGGCCACATCAGAGGCCCTGGACCTCCTGGCTGAAGTCCAGGATGGCAGCAATGGGGGCTTCAAAGCTGAGGGCAATGTCCCGGGAGACCCAAGAGGCAGGCTATGGTGTGGGTGACAGCAGATGTCAGAATGTGGGGAGGCTGGGGGCCCGGCAAGAGGCCTGGGCCTTGGGTGCTGACCCCCCGGAGGGCCTGTCCTGGTCCTAGGCGGTATGCCCGGAGTTCACCTGCGACGAGGTGGTGTCCCTGGTCCAGAAGCTCTGTGAGAACATCGGGGCCATGGGCCTCCAGCACGACAGGGCCTCCGTCACCTGGATCAGCATCTTCCTGCAGACGCGAGTCAGGGAGCTGGAGGACAAGGTGGAGGCCGCCGGGGCGGGGGGCGGGGGGCCAGGGCCAGGCCCCAGCGTGGGACCCTCCACCGGCGGGGGGCCCCTTCCCCCACGGCCCTGGGAGCTGAGGAGGAAGAGGAAGCAGGGCTCAGGGGGGAGGAAGACTCTCCCTGAAGGGAGCCTGGTGGGTAGGCGGAAGGCGGGCTTCAGGCCCACGGCCTCCCCGTGGAAGACCCACTGAATCCAGCTCCAGGAAGAGCCTAGATGAAGCACTTGAGAGAGGCCAGAGGGTCAACCCACCCGTGGTCCACGTGGGAAAGCCCCGGGGTGAGGGTCCTCCGGAGGCCAGTGGGTCCAGGCTGGCCGGTGACGCCTTGCCCCGCCCTGCCAGGTGGCAGAGATCCTGGGCGCCATCTTGGCCCACCTGCCAGTGGTGGACCACCTGGAGGTACGGCGCCTCCTCATCGAGGGCATCCTGCTGCTGGCCCACTACCACCAGGAGACCGTCCTCACCTCGCTCCTGAGGCAGCCCCTGCCCATGGAGAGGTGGGTGCCGGGGACAAAGCCGCCACAGGGTGGCCATGCAGACCACACCCAGTGACACTGTCGGAGGGGTGGTGCCTTGAACGTCCTGTGCAGCGTTTGAGCAGAAATCACTTTCCACATGAAAACGCACCTGTCCTTAGGTCTAACACCCAAAGCCATTTCCGTCAGCCCAGCTTACCTGTATCGATACCCCCACGAGGCTCAGCCTCTGTGCTGATTTACTGTTGGGACCGGCTCATGCGCTCAGGTCAGGAGCCCTGCTTTGGGCTGCTGATGGCAAGGTCGGCAGTTCAAACCCACCAGCCCCACTGTAGGACAAAGAGGAGGCTTTCCACTCCCGTAGAGAGTGACCGTCTCAGAAACCAGCAGCATTGACTCGATGGCATGAGTTTGGCGGGGATTTTTTGGTTTTGATTTTTAAGTGTGAGCCTGTATCAATAAGCTTCTCTTTAGAGAGAAGTCATATTAGAGGAAACGAAGGAGAGTCCAGACAGGGTTCTCTGCACAGCGACTAATAGTGCTGCTACCAACAATGCCATTTGATAGAGAGACTCTGTAACAACAGTGTCAGTATTCCTGTAACTATGAAAGAAATACGGCACTCAGGCAATTTATAGCTACTTTTAGTCTTTTGAATCATTTGATTGGGAGCTCTTACAGATATCATAACATTCCATAGTTCAAGCACATCGAGCAGTGTTGCACAATTGCTGCCACAGTCAGTTTCAAAACATTTCCTTTCTTCTTGAACTCCTTGCTAGCAGCCCCCTCCCTCCTCCACCATCCCCACCAGAAGCCCTTATTCCATTTTTTCCCTATACAGTGAACCCTCGTTTATCGCGGTTAATCGGTTCTAGACCCTACCATGATAAATGAAATTCCGCGAAGTAGGATTCCTTATTTGTAAATCAAATATTTTCGTAGTTAGAGCATAGAGGACATGAAAAAACACCCTTTAGTCACCATTACACTCGTATTACCCAATTTATTAAACGAAAAAGGGAAAATGCAGTAAAACATTTTGGACGTTACAATTATCATTTATTATTTATTATATTATGAAGTACAACGGATGGAGCGAACGGAAGACTCATTCAAGTCGAAATGGCATGCAACCTCCAAGATTTTCTTGCCATCTTTGATCATATCCAAAAGTTTTACCTTTTCCTGGATGGTGAGCATCTTCCTCTGGTGCTTATTTTTATTGTCAGAAGGCTCAGAAGAAGCAGCTCGTTTAGGAGCCATCATAGGGCTTAGATAAAATTTCTTAAAAATCACAAACAATTACAGTACACTGTACAAAAGCAAAAATGCATCTGCTACGTAGCTCCGATACGTAGCGAAGCAGACAGAAGCGTGTACAGTATGAGCCAATCAGTGGCAGTAATGACAGAGCATGCACTGTTACGCAAAAAACGCGATAGAGTGAAGCCGCGGAAGTCGAAGCGCGAAGTGGCGAGGGTTCACTGTAATAGTTTTGGGTGTTTTTATTTTTTTGTGCCATAGTCCAATCTATCCATTCACACACCACTCTGTCGCTCGGTCCCACAGAGTGGTTCTACAGTCATCAGTGCTCTCAGCTCCCCACCTCCCCCCTATTGCTGTTTGTCATCGGACGTCATTCTAGGGTCAAAGCTGTCTGGAAGGAGGGGGTTCCACGTCCCGGTGGGGTGGTGGGCAATTCTGGGAGTTACCTCACTAAGTGGCACCAACCCTGTGGATGCCCCTGCCCAAGCCATGCTGAACTGACTGCCCCCATTAACACCCTCCCCGCAAAGATGAAGGTCTTTTAAAATAGTAGCTTGTCTAGCCTTGAGTCAGATCGGTCCCTCTCTGTGTACCGTCCCTTCTATGGCGGTACCAACCTCCGATGCACCACGGCCTGGAGCCGATGACCCTGATTCATGGTGCTCCTGCGTTCCGGAGCAGGACCACCCACGCTGCTTTCTTCGCTGCCATCCTCGTGAAAAGCTTAGAACCGCTGGGCGGCCTTTAGGGGAGGCCGTTCCTCAGTGCAGGGTGCAGGCTGCCTGCCTGCTTCAAACTTGGGGTTCCTCTTCTGGAGCATGTAGCGATTCACAGAGACAAAGGTCTTTCTTCTTCAGAGATGGCCTGGGAGCACAAGCAAGCGGCCCGGCGCCAGGCTGTTGGCAGCATGACTGTGGGGGTGTCAGACAGAAGGCGTGGTGGGACCTCCAGGTGCCCTCCCGGTGGGGCTGTGCTTCCAGGGATACCACGAGCTGGAAGCAGAAGCCAGGCTGGAGTTTGGGTTCCCTGTCCACCTGATGGTGCGGTGGTTACGTGCTGGGCTGCGATCCGCACTGTCAGCAGTTCAAAACCACCTGCAGCTCCATGGGAGAAAGACCGGGCTTGCTCCTCCCCTCAGCGGTTGCAGTCTCGGAAACCCACAGGGGTCGCCGTGAGTCAGCACTGACTCGGAGGCAGCGAGTTTTGAGTTTGTGTGATTGAGCACTCTGCGGAGACCGGGCCCTGGCTTCTAATTGTGCCCCCTTAGGCAGGCCGCTCCCTGTCCCCAAGAGCTTGAAAGAGACTCCGTCCACCCCCCCGTCCCCCACCCAAGGGCACGAGGCCAGAACCCCACGGACCAATCCTGTCTTTGTCAGCCACCTGACGGAGGTGTGGCTGGCTGTGGCAGAGAACGTGCTTTCGCTCGCACCATGCTCCACGGCCTGATGGGTCGGCTGCAGTCTCGGTTCAGCCCCCAGGCGAAGGTCACATCTAAGGCAGACATCTGGCGGCTGGCTGCAGTGGACCCTCTGATGGTGAGTGGGGGGGCTGATGGGGGCACCCCCGGGCCGCAGGGCCGGGGTTCCCGAGCCTGCGCCCGTTCTCGGCAGACGCTGTGCACCATCCACCTGCTGCTGGAGAAAGTGGAACAGGACGACAAGCTGCCGGACCTCCTGCCAGACCTGGTCTACACCCTGCTCCTGCAGCTGAGCATCAGCCATGGGCCAGAGGCTGCCTCCCCCATCCTGAAGACGTGGCGGCTGGTACACTCCGGAGCCCTGCCGGAGGAGATCAACCCCCAGAGGTACTCCCCAGGGTGGTCAGGGGTGGGAGGGGCTGGGCTCCACAGGCCACCTCCACCGGGGCCCCAGTGGTCCTCTCTTGCTGGGGATGGTGAGCTCCCTGCCCAGGCCCCCAACCATACTCCCCCTGCTACCAGTGTGGCATGGTGCTCTGGGCTAGGCAGGCAGGCCCCGCTCACAGGACTGCCCCAGGAGGCACTGTGAATGCATTTCACACACCAGAGAACTGAGGCCCCAAGCTGGGTAGCAGGATCACAGAGACCCTCCTCCTCCCCAACCCCAGTGCTCCTACCTTGCTGGTTGCCCCCCTCCCCTCCTGAGGCCATCCACTGTCCACCTCCTCCTTCCAGGGTCACTGTCAAGGCCATGCAGCAGCTACTGCAGAGGTTCAACAGCGAGCCCCTGCAGCAGGGCCTGGAGGAGCAGGGCGTCTGGGCCCTCCTGGAGAACGGGGCCACCTTCCTGGAGGGCGTGGGCCTGCTGGCCAGGTGGGTGGGCCAGGCACTGTCTGCCGGAGGGAGGACTTCCAAGCCTGCCATCTTCCCGCGACAGCTCCCTCCAGGGAGTGGCTGCTGGGTCCAAACCCCCAGCCCTTCAGTTAGTTAGTAGCTGCCTAAGGGTCCTAAGCTACCAGGGTCCTTCCTTATAGGAAACAGAGATAGAAGTCCCTGCTTCATCATGCCCCTGGTCACCTGGGAGCTGCTGGGCCCCAGTGGGGGTCTCCGGGGCTGTGGGCCTCCCGCCCACCACGGTGGCGTCTCTCCGCAGGCTGTGCCTGAAGCACCTGGAAGGCCACCTGCCGAGGCTGTCAGAGCTGGTGCTCAGAGGCCTGGACACGGACGTCCTGAGCTGCCGCGTCAGCTGCACGGCCGTGTGTGTGGAAGTGAGGCCCCCGCCGGGGTGGGCAGGGGCCGGGGAGCGTCGGAGTCGGGGGATAGCTGGGTCTCCCTCATCTGCATTCACCCTTCCGTCCTGGGGCGGTTCAGGGTGACACTGTGGGGGGAGACTCAGTAGGGATTTGGGGTGGTGACCCCATGGACCCCCATGGAGCCAAGGTGGGTTCTGGATGGTGGGCAGGGCTTTGCTGGGCACCAGGACCAGGAGCATGGGATGGCTGGTTGGACCCCGCTTCCCTGTACACAGTCAGAGCTCTGTGGGGATCCCGAGGGAACTGGCTGGAATATTCTAGGAGTCTTGCTGATGGCATGGGTCCCGGGACACCATAGGAACGAAGCACTAACCCCGGGCTCAGCCGGCACCTATTTCTGTAAAGGTTGGGGGCAGTAGATGCTCTGATTGCGGGGGCTGTCTGCTCTCTGCTGCAATGGCTCCGCTCAGCTGCACGAACATGAAGGTCACCTCCATCAACAACAGCCAAAGACCCCAAATCCTCTGCCATCAGGTCGATCCGGGCTCATGGCAACCCAATAGGACAGACTAGAACTGCCCCTAAGGGTGGCAGGGACCCTTCCACGCTGAATAATACTCCATTAGATCACACATTGCTTATCCATGCATCTTTCGAGAGACACGTGACTCCTCTCCTTTTGGCTACTGTGAATCATGCTGCTGTAATCACGCCCATTC